CGATTTGTGTTACAATCACCGGAACATTTACAAGTTTCAGATGACTTGAAATTTGTATAAATTTGAGCTGCTCGTATAAAAGTAATTGTAGGTAATTGATCAGTATTAACAGTTGTTAAGGCTGCAAAATTAGCAGTAGTGAAATCCAAAAGCATTATAGAATTGAAACGTTCCCTAATAACACCATTTTGTGTAGCAACCGTATATAAAATATCTCCCTTGTCAAAACTTTTCTCAATAATTTTGCACGGCAAAATTGTAGGTGAAGTATTTGTACGATCAACTTGAGAAATTTTTAAACCAATAATATATCTTGACAATAGTAAAATGTTTCTTGGCCCAAAAATTAAATTGATGATCGTATTTTGTTTCATTAAATAGTACATCTAATATTTTATTGTATGTTTCAGTTGTTACTAAGTACTTGGATTGTCGTTTGACATCCAATTCAGCTACAAGGGCTTTTAGTTTTACATAGAACGCGTCTTTCATTTTTTTTTTACAATAAGATTAGAGAACAATTATAAGTTAATTCTTTCTCCAAGTCACAGAAGTGACTTTCAACCAGTTATAAAATAATTATTCATAAATAGTGCATAAAAACTTTATCTTTCTACATTTTAAAGTCAACTAGTTGACTTTAAAATAGTAAATTCAACTAACTTCTCTCTACTTATGTGTCATGTTTTTAAGTCGCCTAGTTGTCTTCGAAATTGAAAAGTCAACTAGCTCCATCTTAGTTGTCTCTTCAATTTTAAAGTCAACTAGTTCTTTTCTCAATTTTAAAGTCAACTAGTTCCCTTTTAAAGTCAACTGAATTTTAGAGTCAACTCCGACATATATATATACATATACGAACAACAGAACGAAAAGAAAAAATTTCTGTATATATGTTCACAAGAGTATATAACATTCTTCACGATGATAATTCATAATTGAAATATTATTTAAAGATTTAATTATTTAATAAAAGTTTCATAAATTCTGAGCATTAAATTAGTTTTGAAATTCCATGATTTATTAAACGAATAAAATATTTTTTATTATCTAAAACGTTCTTATGCTGCATTTATCTTGAAAAATATTTTTTTTTATTTCTTTTTCTTGAATATTCCATAAGTATATGACACTCAATTCAATTAGTTAGAAGAAGCTTCACTTTTTCGAGCTGCATCAATCTGTCTACTGTTCGCCATGTCCATTAAATTTTATAAAAAAAGATTATGTTCCTGGTGAATAAAATTTTATTCACCACGAACATAATCTTTTTTAATAAAATTTAATGGACATCGCGAACAGTAGACAGATTGATGCAGCTCGAAAAAGTGAAGTTTCTTCTAATTAATTGCATTGAGTGTCATATACTCATGCGATTTTCAAAAAAAAGAAATTAAAAAAAAAGATTTTTCAATATGAATTAAGCAAAAGAACATTTTAGGTAAAAAAAAAGATTTTGTTATGTACCGTATTGAACTTGGCTAATAATAATCTGTTCGACAAGAACATGTGGACTAATAAAGATTCTATTTCGAATAGGAAAGAATGTTCTTCAGAAAATCTTAGCATTTCATAAACTATGAAATCATTCTATGGAGCAATAACAGCAAGTGAAACATGATCGAAATTGGTACTCACCATACCGACAGCAGATTGGAGTTGATGAATAATTTTCAAGAAGACTTGACGATGTTTGTCCTTGACTGTGTATTGAATGAGAGAAATTAAAATGAATCCCTAAGAAAAAAGAAACTTTTCTGCAGCAGAGAAACGACAATAATCGGTTTGCGAAAAAGAAGCGAGCGCAAAAATTGTAACAGTAATATGCAAAAGAAAGTAATCAGTGAATGAGCGATGGCGCTATTACATGTGCAGCACGTTTTGTCCAACTTGATCGAAAGTGAAAGAATGCTGCGCTTCATTTTAATTTCTTCGAGCAAACAAAGAAAGAAAAAACCTGCCTTTTAACGTGTGGGTGTGGGTGTGATTGGCAATATGTAGCTCATTTATCACGCACAACCACATTCACATCCACCTCCACCGTCATCCACACCCCACAGCCACCCACACCCACACCCACACCCACACCCACCCCCCACCCACACCCACACCCACACCCTCACCCCACACCCACACCCACACCCATAAGAAGCAGCATTGAAAACTAAAGAAAGTTAGGTGTTTTTAGTTTCACGACAACCGGTCTTAATGAGATTTTTTAAGCACTCTTTCAGAATTGAAATAATATTGTATGAATAATTGAGAAAAGTGGATTTTAAAACGATAAACAAAAAGCACCTTAAAATTTTGTCACTCACTTTATATTAAAGAAAAACCCTAAATTAAGATCCTTACTTGGTCACCAGAATTGTCTTACTTGTTTGAGTATCCACAAATGTAGACACGATTTAGGGATTGCTTCAGAGATCCACAACTTGTAGTAAATGATACACATTCAGAGAACGAAGGTTCACAAAGTTCACTCTGAGGTACTTTTTCTCATGTAAAGGGGGCTATATACTTCATGCAGTAAAGTAAAGGAAAAGTTTAACCGATCTAGTTGAAATTTTTAGGAATGGCTACTATTATTTTGTTGAGCAGTTGCTGAAAGTTTCACGTAAATCTACCTTCACTCTCTAATGGGGCCGTAATGTCCGTAAAACATCCCCCGTCCTTTGTGCATGTTGATTTTAATTGAATGGAATTAGTTCATTAAAAATCTTTTTTTGCTTTGATTAATATGGTCTATCAATATCTAAAAGTTCCTGCTTTTTATTTTCTTTGTGCAAGATCAAACGGTGACTTTGTTTTCTCTTTCTTTTGTTGTTTGATTATGCCAACAGTATCTTTTGTTGATGCTAACAGTCGCGTTTTTTTTTTCTATTTTTCTTTTCCATGTATGCTACATATTTTATATCTATGACTTTATCTTATTTCTCAAATGTGTGTAAACCTTGTAAGATCATTTTTTCGACATTAAATATTAATGAGTTTGACATTTCAATCGATTATTCATTGATAGGTCGTTAAAGTTGGTCTACTTGCGTGAATAAATAATTGTTTTTTTCTAACCATTTTGCATATTTTTAGGTATTAAGCCAAATAGCATAGGTTATTGTACTGCTTCATGAACAGATAATATGTAAAACAATGTCTAAAAGCTGACAATAAAGCATTTTCATCATCATAGTCATCAAAATCATGGACGCATTCAAATATTTTTTTGTGCGTTAATGTTCGTCAGTATGTTATGAAGCTTGTCAGTGCAACCTTTTTGCGATTGAAAACATGGAACTCATATGATGTTTTTTCATTTCATCATACATTAATACAAAATACATTCATTGAAGAATCTCGAACAGATTGTAGTTTCTTTCTAAGAATAATCGATCGTCAGATAAACGATCTGTCTTATTTATTTCCGCACTTTGGAACAAAAGCTTTTTTTAGCTTTTTACTTGCAGGTGTGGGTGTGGGTTTGAAATAAAGCAAAATACGCCCCCAAACCCTTTGGAATGTTCTCAAACCGTCTAAAATTTGTTCTTAATGCTGTTCAGTGCCCTTTTTCGTTGCTAACACCTTCACAAAATTTGCCTGGTCAAATGAACTGTAAGGTGCCATGACCAAGTGATTGTTGAAATTTATTCTGCTTATGTAAGCATAATCAGACAAAAACTGGGTAGAAGCTATCATCTGAACTAGCGTTCTCAAATGGTAAAAGATTAAGTGTCTCGATAAATCGTGATCGTCTTTTGAATATGGGTACAAAAGTTATATGTCAAAAGAAAAATCACTGGAAAAACTTGTATATGAAAAAGAATGATGTTCTTTCGCCAATGAACGCAAGTGTGACTTTAAGAAGTGAAGTAATGTTATTAGGAGTTATAAAGTATTGAATCGTAAAAATCGCATATTCGTTTGACATTCAGAAACTAAAGCTAATGAACCATTTAATTTTCGTACAAGGGTGCAAAGTGGTGGTAGACTTGCTAACGTATCAGGCTCAGACTTGGAACCGGTCGAGTTTTTTCTGACCGGACCGGACCGGCCGGTTTGACATTTTCACCCGGACCGGACCGGCCGGTAACCGGCCGGTTTATATTTGCGATTAGACCGGTAAAAAACCGGCAAAAAACCGGCCGGTTTTATGGTATAATTTGACTGGTAAAAAAACCAGATGTATGTATCTTTTAAGATATGATGGATAAAAGCTCAACTAATGCAATATGAGTTTCAATATGCCTATGATTGTGTAAAAGAAACGATGTTTCAGTGAGATATGAATGAATAGTCTTCATTTTATTACAGATATTTGGATCCTATGATGTTAGTATGAACGAAGATGGTCACTGAACATAAATCATTGTTTAATACAAATAATACTGGTCTATAATTAGCCAAACTCTGAGGAAAAGATACCAGTTATGATAAGTCTCAAACATTTTAAAGTGTATTATCTTGAAAAATTGAAGTAGTTATGACAAACTAGTTGCTACTCCTTTATTTTCTGATTCATCACAAACTTTTTATTATTTCTTCTTAATTAAATAATAGTTAAAAAAAAGAACAAAAAATGACAAAACAAAATTTTCATAATCTTTGAGTACTATCTCACTCTCACAACGACTGTTGTAAATAGCATAAATATAAATTACATTTCACATAAATCACAAAATAATAATAATATATATATAAATGAAAATATAGTCAGTTTTTTTCTTTTTAAGTATCCATTGATTACAACAGCAATATCAATCTTCTTTAGGCCATAAATTATTAAGATAAGCTTCTTTTAGCACAACTAAGGCTTCAACACAATCAGAATCAAGATTACTTCATTGTTCAGTGACTACTCTACCAGCTATTGAGAAATGTCGTTCACTTTCACTAGATGATGCTAAAATACATAAAAAAGAATTGCAAGTAATATATAAGATCTAAATGTAGTAAGATATGTAACGTTTACCTGATCCCTTTAGTACTAAATCTGGAACAGATTTATATCAAACGAAAATCTTACCTTGTATAGCAAAAATTGATCTGGCTATTTTAGCCAACAATGATAAATGATCTTGTTGTTGTTTCCAAAATAACAAAGGATTATTGTCATATTCAGAATTATTATTTAATGTCATGTTGTTATATAGCCGAAGTTGCCGATCAAGTTCAATGTTTAACGATTCCAATGTTGTTTTTGATGACGATGGAGATGGATTTGCTGCAACGTGTTGACGAACATCAACAAAAGGATCATTTTTGTGTTTTTTTTTAGGTGGTGAAGATGAACTGATAGGATCAGTTGGTGGAATTAATATTTGTTGATCATCATCAGAAGTTGTCAACACATCACCAGCTAATACATGTAATCCTTTCTGTATTTCATTATAACGTTTTGCTCGATCTTTTTTGTCGTGAACAAATGTTAAAGACTTGAATGTTGGCTCTAAAAATGTGGCAATCCAATGTAATAGTGTAATAGAAGACCAATATTTATCACCCAATGCCTTCAGTATTTCAGATTTCAATGTGTTGATTATTTGTTTCTCTTGTGTATTTACTTTGATTTGACAATAACTGACCATCTTGTAGTAACTCGGCACTACATTTTGCAATGTAGGACAATTAGAAAATTCTAAATAATCAAATATTAATGAAAACTGTTCCATTAAATCAACAATATTAAGCAATAAAACTGTATTAATATAAAAAATACGATGTTGTTCATTTCGTGCACTTAAAATTTGTGTTAATGTTGTAAATGAAGCATTCAGTGAATCGTGCACTGTAAAATAAGATCTCCATGGACGAGTTCCACTATTACATTTAATTGACTTTGGTAATTTATCTTGTATTCCACTGGTTTGATTAATAAATTTTCTCAAATCTTTTATGCAATTGCAAAAAATCTCAAAATCGTGGTGCGTTTTTATTGTTTCATCCCAAGCTATTTGAAGTACTGTATTACATCGGTGAGCCATACAAGGTAATCTTGTTTCATCTGTAATTTTAAATGCAGCAACTATGTTCGAACCAGAATCAGTCGTGATTGGTGTATCACCATAAGATAGATTGAATGAATCAAAAATGATTTTTACTAAATATATAAAAAAATGTAAAGTTAATGGAAAACTAAGAAATGATTACAGAAAGATAATCATGCAGTTCACTTACATTCGTTCCAAATATTTACTGCTGTTTTTGATTCTTCTTCGAAATATTTACATCTCAGCAATGAATGTTTTAATTCATACTCTTTAGTTGTCCAAAATACAGTAAAATCTAAATAAGATCTTTTAGTAAAATCATCAGTCCATAAATCACATGTTGCTGCCAAACAATGCTCTTTTATTGGTTCATCGAGAGCATTTCTTATTGTTTTAAGATATGAATCAAATTTTATTAATAAATATTCACGAATTGTTTTACGACCATAAAAAATATCATGTACATCTAACATTCCATAATGACTTCCAATTTCAATACCCAATTGTAACAGTTCAATCATACCATCATTCTCAAGTGAATTTAAACTATGTGATCCAGCAACAACGAACTTTAGCTCCGCATCTTTTAATTTATTTTGATATTTATTTGAAATTTTGTTTTTATTATAAGTAAATTTTGGTATCAATGCTTGACGTAATGGTGGTCCTTGTGGTAAAATATTGGTTGTTGATGATGATGCAATTCTAGATGATTGATTTTTAGATTTGTATGAACATTCTTTTAAATGTTGATGTATAGATTTAAGACCATAATTCTTTCTTTGACCATGTTTGTCTTTTGTGCTGTGAGTTCGATATGTTGAATAACAGTAATTGCTAAATGTGAATAATTATATCATAAAGATAGCTCCTGCAAAAATAGGAAAAGCGTTAAACTTACCATGCTGCATACCCTTCAAAAATTTCTTCTTCATCATTTTCATTTGTTCTTCCGACTAAAGAAATATCGTTTAACCACTTTTCACAATTTCCTTTAATATTTTTTATTAAAATAAATTCCTTTAATTTTAATTTCGCTTCTATTTGACCACATTTCAAGTTATCAGGATCAATCATGATTGTATTGCTCATAAGAAAACTTTTTTTTTGTTTGAGAATTGTTTTACTTCACCTTTTTGTTCAATTTATTTATTTCACGATGTTTTGAAGGGCATATCCTTCTTCAACAGGTTGTTATAAACAAAATAAAGATAAAATTGATTTACAAATAAGGAACACACGTATAATTGTGTATATATATAAGTACGAAAATTGAACTCTCTCTTTTCTTTTTCTTTTTAATTTTCAATAGTGGAACGAACGTCAACGAGACGGTAACACTGAAACAAAAAGAAAATATATTTCCTCTTTTCTTCTTCGTCCGTTCCACTCTTGAAAATGAAAAAGAAAAAAAACAAAAGAGAGAGTTGAGTTAATTTTTGTACTTATATATAAAGATACAATTATAGATATGTTCCTCATTTGTGAATCAATTTTATCTTTATTTTATTCGTAACAACCTGACGATGAATGACGTGTCCTTCGAAACGTCATGAAATAGATAAATTGAATAAAAAAGCAAAGAGTAGAATAATTCTCAGATATATATTATGTCCTTCCTAA